TCTAACAAAAATACAAAAAATTAGCCAGGTGTGGTGGTGGGTGCCTGTAATCCCAGCTACTTGGGAGGCTGAGGCACTAGAATTGCTTGAACCCAGGAGGCGGAGGTTGCAGTGAGCTGAGATTGCACCACTGCACTCCTGCCTGGGCAACAAAGTGAGATCCTGTCTCAAAAAAATATAATAAATAATAATAATGGAAAGCGACCCAGTGTGGTGGCTCATGACTGTAATCCCAGCACTTTGGGAGCCTAAGGCAGGAGGATTGCTTGAGCCCAGGAGTTTGAGACCAGCCTGGGCAATATAGCAAGACCCTGTCTCTACAAAATACCTATAAAAAAATTAGGCCAGGTGTGGTGACTCATGCCTGTAATCTTAACACTTTAGGAGACCATGGTGGGCAGATCACCTGAGGTTGGTAGTTCAAGACCAGCCTGGCCAACAGGTGAAAGCCCATCTCTACTAAAAATACAGAAGTTACACAGGCATAGTGGCAGGCGCCTGTACTCCCAGCTACTCAGGAGGCTGAGGCAGGAGAAGAGCTTGAACATGGGAGGCAGGGATTGCAGTGAGCTGAGAGCGCACCATTGCACTCCAGCCTGGGCAACAGAGCAAGACCCCAGCCCAAAAAACAAAACAAGATCAAAGCCATGCTTTTTTTTTTTTTTTTTTTCTTTTTCTGAGACAGGGTTTCACTCTGTCGCCTACGCTGGCGTGCAGTGGCGCGATCACAGCTCACAGCAGCCTCGACCTCCCAGGCTCAAGCAATCCTCCCTCCTCAGCATCCCAAGAAGCTGGGACCACAGTCATGAGCCACCATGACTGGCTTTTTCCAGTCATTTATTCTGATGCTGAAACTGTCCCTGATTTGATCGGTGGATGCCCCTGCCTGACCTCTTGTCATTTTGACAAGCCCGGTCATTCTTTAATCACTTCCTTTCTTTCTGGCTCAACAAGCTATTTCAGGGTCATCTTGTTTCTCCCTGTCCAGCCCTGAGTTTGCCATTTCTTCAAGAGTACTTGGTTTCTTTTTAAGGAGGAATAGTATTTAGACACCAGGATCTCCATGTTAGGCGCATTCAATGCAATTATGGTCATTCTACCCCAGGGTCCATTCAATGGACACACATTTATACACACACATAAATGTATATATTTACATCAGTTTATTTTTCTTTCTTTCCTTCTTTCTTTTTTTTTTCCTTTGAGATGGAGTTTCACTCTTGTTGCCAGACTGGAGTGCAGTGGCACGATCTCGGCTCACTGCAGCTTCGGCCTCCCCGGTTCAAGTGATTCTCCTGCCTCAGCCTCCCGAGTAGCTGGGATTACAGGCATGTGCCACCATGCCCGGCTAATTTTGTATTTTTAGTAGAGACAGGGTTTCTCCACGTTGGTCAGGCTGGTCTTGAACTCCTGAACTCAGGTAACCCTAACCCTCGGCTTCCGAAAGTGTTGGGATTACAGGCGTGAGCCACTGCGCCCGGCCTATATCTGTTTCTCTCTTTATCTGTCTACATAAACTGGGGAAAAACAAGAGTTTAGATTTAGACCTTAAATTACAGTCTAAAAGCACAAGTTTCATCCTTGCCTTTTTTTAACCTTTCCACACATATATGTGTATATATATTACATATATATATATATATATATATATTTTTTTTTTTTTTTCTGGACTCAAGGCATTCTCCCACCTCTGACTGCTGAGTAGATGGGACTACAGGCCCTCACCACTATATCCAGTAATTTTTGTTTGTTTGTTTTTTGAGACAGTCTCGCACTGTCACCCAGGCTGTAGTGCAGTGGCATGATCTCAGCTCACTGCAATCTCTGCTTCCTGGGTTCAAGCAGTTCTTCTGCTTTAGCCTCCTGAGTAGCTACAGGTGCGCGCCACCACACTCAGCTAATATTTTTGTATTTTTAGTAGAGACGGGGTTTCACCATGTTGGCCAGATGGTCTCGATCTCCTGACCTCGTGATCCGCTCGCCTTGGCCTCCCAAAAGGCTAGAATTACAGGGGTGAGCCACTGTGCCCAGCCAATTTTTTTTTTTTTTTTTTGTATTGAGACAGAGTCTTACTCCAGCCTGGAGTTCAGTGGCATGATCTCAGCTCACTGCAACTTCCGCCTCCCCAGGGTCAAGCAATTCTCCTGCCTCAGCCGCCTGAGGCATGCACCACCACGTCTGGCTAATGTTTGTATTTTTAGTAGAGATGGGGTTTCACCATGTTGATCAGGCTGATCTAGAACTCTTGACCTCGTGATCTGCCCACCATGACCTCCCAAAGTGCTGGGATTAGAGACGTGAACCGCCATGCCTGGCCAATTTTGTGACTTTTTAGTAGAGACAGGGTTTTACAATGTTGGCCAGGCTGTTCTCAAACTTCTGACCTTGTGACCTGCCTGCCTCGGCCTCCCAAAGTGCTGGGATTATAGGCGTGAGCCAAGGCGCCCGGCCAAAAATAGCATCTGAATCAAGTGACAGATGTTGGTACTACCAGTCATGGCTCCAAGAGACATTGGCTACAGTGAGAACACAGCCTCATTTTTGTGGTATTTCTGTCCAAAACGTGTCACGGTGGTCTCCTCATCAGGAAGAAGTGGACAAACCCAAACGGAAGGACAGTCTACAAAATAACTTCTCTGTAATCTCCAAAAATAGAGGTCGTGACACTCAGAGGCTGCAAATTGTTCCAGATGGAGGGAGAACAGAGGCGTGACAACTGGGCACAGCGTTTCACAACTTATCAGTTTTTGTTTGTTTGTTTTTTGAGATGGAGTCTCATTCCGCTGCCCAGGCTGGAGTGCAATGGCGTGATCTTGGCTCACTGCAACCTCCGCCTCTCAGGTTTAAGCAATTCTCCTGCCTCGGCCTCCTGAGTAGCTGGGATGACAGATGCATGCCAGCACGCCCAGCTAATTTTTGTATTTTTAGTAGAGATGGGGTTTCACCATGTTGACCTTGTGAACCACCCACCTTGGCCTCCCAAAGTGCTGGGATTACAGGCGTGAGCCAGTGCACCCAGCCAATTTTTTTTTTTTTTTTGAAGAGACGGGGTTTCACCATGTTGGCCGGGATGGTCTTGATCTTCTGACTTTGTGATCCGCCCGCCTTGGCCTCCCAAAGTGCTGGGATTACAGGCATGAGCCACTGCGCCCAGCCATTTTTTTTTTTTTTTTTTAACTTTAAAAGTTAATACTTTTTGGACATTGCAGAGCAGTTTGAATTTTTTTTTTTTTTAGTTGCTGTTGTCGAGATGGAGTCTTGCTGTTGCCCAGGCTGGAGTGCAGTGGCATGAACTCGGCTCACTGTAGCCTCCACCTCCTGGGTTCAAGTAATTCTCATGGCTCACCCTCCTGAGTAGTTGGGACCACAGGCGCCCACTATCATGCTCGGCTAAGTTTTTTGTATTTTTAGTAAAGACAGGTTTCACTATGTTGGCCAGGCTGGTCTCAAACTCCTGATATCATGACCGCCTGCCTTGACTTCCCAAAAAGTGCTGGGACTACAAGTGTGTCACCGTGCCCAGCCTATTTATTTATTTTAGAGATGGGATCTGGCTATGTGGCCCAGGCTGAAGTGCAGTGTCTATTCACAGGCAAGATCCCATGGCTGATCGACACAGGAGTTGTAAGCCCTCTGTTTCTTAGCTGGGGTGGTTCATCTCTCCTTCGGCAACTTGGTGGTCTCTGCTCCTGGGAGGTCCCAAATTGGTGCTGAACTTAGTGAAAGCGCAGGTACCTGGCATACCACACTACAACCCGGAACTCCTGGGCTCCAGCGATCCTCCTGCCTCACCCTCTGGAGTAGCTGGGACTACAGCCACAGCACCCAGCAACATTTCTGTTTGCAGCTGGGTTGAGGACCTATTCCCCAATATGCAACTTTGCTGAAAAGGCCCTTGCTGACATGAAGATTTCTTTTTACACATTTATTAATATGTTGCTGGTATACTCAAGGCACTTGTGGAGGTGGGGGGTACTGAGGCCCCTGAGGGCACAGCAGACCAACTCGTGATCTTGGATCAGAACGTTGGGGATATTAGAGGTACTATTCAAGATGTTAGGAAGGCCGGGTGCTTTGAGAGGCTGACACTGGAGGACAGGAGTTCAAGACCAGCCCAGGGACCATAGAGACACCCCATGTCTACAAAACATTTAAAAAACATTTCCTGGGCATGATGGTGAATGCCTATAGTACCAGCTACTCGGGAGACTGAGGGAGGATCTGTTGAGCCCAGGAGTTCGAGGCACTATGATGGTGCCACTGCACTCCAGCCTGGGTGACACAGTGAGTCCAAGAACGAAAAATGTGGGCTGGGCGAGGTAGCTCACACTTGTAATCCCAGCACTTTGGGAGGCTGAGGTGGGTGGATCACTAGGTCAGGAATTCAAGACCAACCTGGTCAACACAGCAAAACCCCATCTCTACTAAAATACAGAAATTAGCTGGGTGTGGTGGCAGGTGCCTGTAATCCCAGCTACTCAGGAGGCTGAGGCAGGAGAATCGCTTAAACTTGGGAGGCGGAGGTTGCAGTGAGCCACAATCACACCACTGCACTCCAGCCTGGGGGACAGTGAGACTCTCTTAAAAAAAAAAAAAATTTAAAACAAATAAATATGTGAGGAAGAGTTTGCCAGGGATATTTTTTTCCTTCTGTTTTTTGCTGAGGTAAGATTATATCTGTGGATGATGCCACTCAAGGTACCAAGGACAACCCTTCAGCATGGGGGCTGGGGCACCTTATGTTTCAGCATCTGAGACAATGCCTTCCTTCTTCCTGTCCTCTCCTTCCCTCTATTTCTGAGACAAGGTCTTGCTCTGTTGCCTAAGCTGGAGTGCAGTGGCGTGATCCTATGGCTCACTGCAGCCTTGAACTCCTGGGCTCAATTGATTCTCCTGCCTTGGCCTCCCTAAGAGCCGGGACAAGCAGGAGCCACCAAGCCCAGCTCTGCCCCTACTTTGGCAAGACGTGGGTAGAGCACCCTCTTGCGGCGAAGGGAGGAAGGGGGCTGAATGTGCTCTGGGCCTGGCTGGAGGGTTCTAGGTCACAGCAGGGCCTCCTCCTTGGCCTGAAGGGGGCGGGGCCTGCCAGGGAGTGCCTTGCGGGAAGGGAGGGCAAAGGGCCATGTCTTTCACTTGCCCCACCCGGCTGCCAAGAGTTCCAGTCACCAGGCCACCCTGAGTCTGGGTCCTTGAGGGTAAGTGTTCTTCTGAACCCAGCTGCCTTGTCCTTCCCTGATGATGGGGTGAGAATTCGTTTGGTTCTTGGGGGTCCAAATATCCTGCCCACCCTGCTCGCATGGAGGCCAGGCAGCGGCGACACCTGCCACCTCCTCTTCCTTTCCATAGGTCGAGACTGGGAGACTGGGGCAGCAACCTGGGGCAGGAACAGGGCACCTCAACCCCTTCCCCACCTGACATCAGCATCAAAGTCAAGGCCAGGGCAGCAGGGCCCAGTGCGGGACACCTCTTCCAGAAAAGACTTGATCGTCGCCTCCTCCTCTGTCACCCTGTGCCACAGCCCAGAGTCCCAGGCTGCTGGAGCACTGGGGGACACCCAGACAGAGCCTTCCCTGGACCAAGTCCTCCAGGAGCGGGATGAAGCCATTGCCAAGTAAGAGGAAGCTGCTTTTGTGGGATGGGAGGGGAAGTGGGGGCTCCCCTGCAGGGGCTTCCTTCCCTTCTCTCCTTCCCCTCCCTCTTTTTTCGAGACAAGGTCTTGCTCTGTTGCCTAGGCTGGAGTGCTGTGGTGTGATCCTATGGCTCACTGCAGCCTTGAACTCCTGGGCTCAATAGATCCTCCTGCTTCGGCCTCCTTTAGTAATGGGATGACAGGCAGGAGCCACAGTGCCCGGCTCTGCTTTCACCTTTCACAAGATGTGGGTGGAGCACCCTCTTATAGTGAAAGGAGGAAGGGAGCTGAGTGTGCTCTGGACCTGGGAAGGAGAGCGGACTGGTCAGGCATTCTAGAAGGAAAGCCACACAAGCAGCAGCCCTACCACTGAGGCAGGGGCTGTGGCTACGCCTGCCCACACCCAGGGGTGTGCCACAGGGTCCACGCCTCAGCTATTCTCTCTTCTACCCACAGGAAGCGGGCAGTGGAGGCGGAGCTGCACACGTGCAAAGCCCGGCTGCATGCCGTAGAGGCCCAGCTGCTGGAGGTCCTGGAGGAGAAACTGAGGCTGAGGCGGGAGCTGGAGGCCTGGGAGGTAGGGGGAATGCTGTCAGAGCCTGGGAGGTGTGGGAAAGAGGGCACAGACACGGCCTTGAACCTGCTTTCCTGCCCACAGGAAGACATGCAGCGACTGGTGTGGCAACAGGTCCAGAATCAGCTGCGGAAAGAGGCTGAGGGCACTCGGGGAGCCCACGTGGACCCTGGAGCTGCCAGGAACCCCTGGTCTAGATTCTCCCTGGGTCGGGGACGTTGGTGGTGACACAGACCTCAGCCCAGGACTGTGGGAGTAGTCTTTATTCATTAAAGCCTGAGGTCTGACCACCCCTGTAAACCTGTGTCCACTCAGTGCCCGTCTGAGTCCTTCTGTGCCCAAATGTGGAGCAGGCTGCAGGGACTTGAAGCCTGGGGTTTTGTGCCTCCTCTGTTTTTTTTTTTTTTTTTTTGAGACAGAGCCTCGCTCGCTTGCCCACGCTGGAGTGCAGAGGCATGATCTCAGCTCACTGCAACCTCTGCCTCCTGGGTTCAAGTGATTCCCCTGTCTCAGCCTCCCGAGTAGCTTGGATTATAGGTGTGCACCACCATGCCAGGCTAATTTTTGCATTTTTAGTAGAGATGGAGTTTCACCATGTTGGCCAGGCAGGTCTCGAACTCCTGGCCTCAAGTGATCCTCCTGCCTCAGCCTCCCAAAGTGCTGGGATTACAGGCATGAGCCACTGCGCCAGCCCCGCTTCTTGCCAGCAACTCAGACCAGGAAGCCTCGGATGGCTGCTATGAAGTCCTGTGGGCGGTCAGCGTGGATCCAGTGGCCAGCGTTAGGCACCGTCTGCATCTGGGCCCGAGGGAAGAGCCGCATAATCTCAGGGTGGTGGCTGGGACTGCGCGTTGCAGCAAAGACCATCAAGAAGGGGTGAACGTGGGAGAAGAAGGAGAGAAAGAGACAAGCGGAAGCAGAGTGGGGAGAAACGGACAGGGCTGTGTGAGCCCACATGTCTGGTGGTATTTCCGGTCTCTCGGCCACCCCCTTTCCACACCCAAGGCCTCCCCTGGTAGGGTCCCCAGACTGGGGGCTGGGTGAATAAAGCATGCCCCTCCCACTACCCAGGCTGGCTTACTGCACGAATTGGGAGTTTCCACCACAGAGAAAGAGCGTTGGCCCAAGGTAAGACTCCTGCCTCTGTGGGAAGGCCAAGATCTTGTCTAGGTGCTGGGTCAGGGCATTCAAGTTCACCCTCCACACGAAGCGCCCATCTACCTCCACCAGGTTAGTGAGCAGGAACTGCCGCACGGCCATGTCCTGTGGGGGTCCAGTAGTTGGAGGGGGTCCTTGTGTGGTCTGGGGGTACCACTCTTCCCTTGACAGGTCCCGGGTCTACAATACCATGTGTTGTGGGGGGGCTTGGGTGTATCACCTGGACAACAGAACTGAGCTGTTCATCAGCCAGTTTTCGGGCATGGGAGCGGGGCAGCTCATCTGGGATGTTGATGGTCCTCATGGCTGTCACATAGGTTGCAAAGTTGGAGATGCCTGTGGTTTCCACTGGGCTGATATCTACAGCAATCAGGCGTTCCACCAGATCTGGCTGTGGGAGAGAACTGAACTGGGACCAGTCTTAGGGCAGACACAGTGAGTCTCAGGCACAGCTCCTGGAGCCTGAACTTGATCATCCAAGGCTCGTTTGAGTGCCCGGTTGGCTGTGGGGAACCCAGGGTATATATTGAACAGGGGCAGCTCACCCTCTGTAGTGCCAGCAGCATGGCTGTCTTCCCTCCCATGCTGTGGCCAACGATGACACAGGGTGCCAGGCCCAGCTGGGGCAGGAGGTCCTGCAGGTCTTGGCTCATGATCTCATAGCTCATGTCTGGGCTGTGGGGGCTGTCACCATGGTTACGAGCATCCACCGTCAGCACCTGGGGAGAGGGGTGAGACGGGGCTGCGTTGGTATCCACATTCTAGGGGTAGAGAGCAAAAGGCCGCATAGGGACAGCAGGTCGAGGGGTATGAAGGTACACCCTCCAGATGGTGGGAGGGCCCAGTTTCCAGACCTAGGAGGTCCAGATGAAGAACCTGGGGCCACTCTGCCAAAGAATAGCAGGCCCCAGGGTTGTGACCACATCTCTGAAGGGCTGGCCTGGCTGGGTGGCCATTCTGGAGAATGCTAGGGGGGAGACTCCAAGAAATTTCCAACAGTCGTTGCACAGAAGAATGGGCTGCCATAAGAGGTGGTGAGCTCCTGTCATCCCTGGTGAACAAGCAGGGGCTGGCCCCTTCATGGGAAGGGTGCAGGCGCCTAGGCATTGGCTAGCGCCGACGGAGATCTACAACATGAATTAATGAAGATGGCAACGTGAGGGAATGAATGGGGTTGCCATTCAGGGCTAATACGCTGCATGATGGATCCGGAAGTGAGCGTGAGAAGCGGGTCCCGCCTCGCCTCCTTCCAGGCCCCGCCCACTCCCGCCCCTCCCCACAGGAGCCCCGCCCACTCGGAAGCGTACCCTCCGGCCTGTCTGCTGGGCCAAGGCCTTAGCGATGGAGTTGAAGTTAGTTTTGCTGCCGAAAAGCCCGTGCAGAAAGACGACGGCTGGGAGGGCTGCCTCCCCGTCCAGAAGCCTGTAGGACAGCGGCAGCGGCCTGGCGGGGCAAGGATCGGGGGCTGAGCTGGCGGAGCGGCGGGGGGGGCGGGTAGGAGAGGGAGAGAAGGGCTTTGCGGGAGAGGCCTGGGAGGGGGCGGGCCCAAGGGGAGGAGGTGGGGCCTTTGGGGCCCGGCGGGAAGGCGGGAAAAGGAGGACAGAGGATGCCTCCGGCTCGGTGCCCTTGACTGACCTCGGCTCGGCACCCCCTCGGCCTCCGCTGCTGCTGGGTGCGACGGGCACCCTCGTGAAGCTAGGACTGGAGAAGCCGAGCCCCCCATGGGGGAGCATCCAGGCTCGGGTCCAGCGGAGCATGGTTGCAAGCCGGTGTCCGGCGTGCACTTCGTGGGGTTAGTCCTGCCCACGCTCCTCCTCCCGCCCAAGCTCGGAACCCCGCCCTGTTCCGGCTGGAGCCCCGCCCTCTTCCCGCCCTCATCGCGGGATTCCCCGCCCTCGATCTCGTTTCCTTACGTAATCCCCGAGAACAGTCTGGCCCCGCCTTCAGTCCCGCCCCTTACGCCATTACGTAATTCCCGCAGCCCCGGCGCCCGTCGCCCTGAGCGCCGCACCTGGCCACGCCCTAGGCGGGCCACCCAAGGCGCTTGCCCCGCCCCTCGCGAAGCCCCGCCCCTCTGGGCTGCAGCTTGGGGCTCGCTTCCGGCCCTGCACCTGCCCTCAGTCACTGACCTGGGTGGCTGCCATCCTTTCTATGCCGGCGGCGCGGGAGGGCGGCGCCAGGGTGGCTCTGGGCGGCGGAGCGCCAGCGTGGTGGCGCCGTGCTCCACTGCTGGGGGCCGGGGCAGTACTTCCATCCTGGAGTCATCGATCTAGAAAGAGCTCGGGGGCACTCTAGAGCTCTCCCCCAACCCCCTCTGTCCCCTTTACATTTGGGGAAGCCTCCCCCAGTCTGATCCCACCTGTTTTTCCGCCCACACCCCCCCATTCTCGTACTCTCCTATCACACATCCTGCCTTTAGGTCTTCACGCCCTACCTCCTTCCTGCTGGGGTGCTGTCTTCCAGATAGCCAGTTGCCCGGTCCTATACATGTTTTGAGGGAGGGTCTCACCCTCGCCCAGGCCAGAGTGCAATGGCGCAATCGTAGCTCACTGCAGCCTCGATCTCCTCGCACAAGCTGTCCTCCTGCCTTTACCTCCTGAGTGTCTGGGACTACACGCACACAGACTAAAGTTTTTTTTTGTTTGTTTGTTTTTTTAACAGAATCATTGTTAAAAAATTTTTTTTAGGCCGGGAGAGGTGGCTCACACCTGTAATCCCTGCACTTTGGGAGGCCGAGGCAGGTGGATCACTTGAGGCCAGGAGTTCGAGACCACCCTGACAACATGGTGAAACCCAGTCTCTCCTAAAAATACAAAAATTAGCCGGGTGTGGTGGTGGGCTTCTGTAATCCCAGCTACTCAGGAGGCTGAGGCAGGAGAATCGTTTGAACTCAGGAGGCAGAGGTTTCAGTGAGCCGAAATCTCACCGTTACACTCCAGCCGCTGGACAGAAAGACACCCAGTCTCAAAAAAGAAAAAAAAAAAATCCCCAGGCGGGGTGGCATGGCCTAGCCCCAGCTACTCGGGAGGGTGAGGCAGGAGAATCTCCTGAACCTGAGGAGATGGAGATTGCAGTGAGCCTGTAGCAGGAAAGGCCGCAAAACAACCCTCTTGAACACCAAGCTAGGGGGAAGGGCTCTTTGAAGCTTAAGAGGATTAAGGGTCTCCTTCCTCAAGCTGAGATCTTGCCACTGCACTCCTGTCTCAGTGACAGAGAGAGACTCCATCTCAAAAAAAAATTTTTTTTTTTTTTTTAAATAGAGTCAGGGTATCGCTATGTTGTAGGCTGGTTTCGAACTCCTGGGCTCAAAGTGCTGAGATTACAGGCCTGAACCACCACACCTGGCCCAACAAAATTTTTTTGAGAGAAGGGGTCTTGCTAACCTGACCCAAGCTGGTCTCCAGCTCCCGGCCTCCAGCGACCCTTCAGTCTCAGGTATATGGGTTGTTTTTTTGTTTTGTTGTGTTTTGTTTTTTTGAGACTGAGATTTGCTCTTGTTGCCCAGGCTGGAGTGAAATGGTGCAATCACGGCTCATCTCGACCTTCACCTCCCAGGTTCAAGTGATTCTCCTGACTCAGCCCAATGAGTAGCTGGGATTACAGGCATGCACCACCACACCCAGCTAATTTTGTACTTTAGTAGAGATGGGGTTTCTCCATATCGGTCAGTTTGGTCTGGAACTACCGACCTCAGGTGATCTGCCTGCCCACCTCAGTCTCCCAAAGTGCTGGGATTACAGGCGTGAGCCACCACACCTGGTTTTTTTGTTTTTTTTTTTTGAGCCTGCATCACCCAGGCTAGAGTGCAGTGGCAAAATCACAGCTCACTGCAACCTCTTCCTCCCAGCCCCAAGCAATCCTCCTGCCTCCGCTTCCCGAGTAGCTGGGGCCACAGATGTGCACCACCATGTCTGGCTAATTTTTTTCTATTTTTGTAGAGAGAGGGTCTTGCTATGTTCCAGGCATAGTAAGGGGATCGTTTCAGGCTGGTCTGGAACTCCCAGACTCAAGTGATCCTGCCGCTTCAGCCCCCTGAGCAGATGGAACTACAGGTGTGTGCCATCATGCCCGGCCTCACCACTGGTCTTTTTTTTTTTTTTTTTTTTTTTTT